GTGTGTGTGTGTACATCTTCGTGCGTATAGAAAAACAACGGTGTAGTGTTATAATACTACGATGATAAAATATAATAACTGTTACGATAAAATATTTCGACGTTTCGATTTTACGAGGGAAACAAACGCGTAGATATGGACGATGATAATATTATTATATTATTATGTTTATGTATAGGTACTATTACTCATTGTGATGGGTGACGGTATGACTATAATATGTATATTATAGGTAGGTAGGTATATAACTGGAAGGTATATTATTATAATACGCACTATACGATCACGGTGTACCCATATAATGTACTATAATATAATGAATATCGCGTGACGAGTGTTGACTACAATATTTTTTCATATATAATATTTGTCTTGCTCGTAGGCTATAATATGTTATTCTAAAATCTAAATCAAAGAGAACACACTAACACACACACACATTTATTCACCAGTCAACAGTCATCAGACACCACACTTATACCGAAGAGACGGTGCCAATGACAGTGTTGAGAGAATTCTGTGCTCTACAATACTGATTAATTAATTAATTATTCGTCGCTGCCCTCTTCAGTAGGTACCTACATATAATATGCGATAGTTTATCGAACAGTGAAATCCATCGAGTTGCGATTCTATCTCTGACCACTATAGCATCACGCACACGGTCATCTTGCATTTTCAGAAAAAATATTATGCGTTCAATACAATATTTTCTAGATAATTTTCAGTATTAAAAAATGGGAATGTTACAACGGAATAATATAACATGTTACATGTATAATATATTATGATGCGTATTATAAATTATAATAACGTAGTATAGCACTAGTTTTACCTATTTTAAATTAGTTCCTTTATGCACATAAAATGAAACTTTATAACCTTTTAATGAAATACATCCGGATATAATTAAGTTATAGACCCTAGCTATAGTTGATATAGTTACTAAATTGTGGGTACAACGTAAGTGGAGATTATTAAGTTATTAAATCCAGGTTAGATCGAGTAAAAAATATATACCAAGTAGGAAATCCATCAGAGAATATAACTGATGTTAGTATATTTTTTTCCAGTTTGATGAAATTAAGGAACAGATCTGTAAAATTGTATTGAAATTAAGTTACCTACATATTTTGTGTTCGGCATGACGACGAATACCAATATTTAACTTTATTGATTTTCATACTTCATRATATATATTGTATAWTATATACATTTTTACTAATAAGTTATTAGTAAAAATGTATATACTATAGTTTAGGTTAGTTATTAGTAATAACTAACCTAAACTATAGTACCTTATACCTACAMATTGATAATTGATGTTGACACGTTTCGACAACCTACGAATAAATAAGACGTCTTTTATATGGATTTCAATTAATATTATGAAAACATAAATGCTCGTTATATATGCACTAGTCGGTAGACGGTATTACTATAATACTATACGTTAAGTCCACTATATATAAGTTATATCATTATTATAATATTATATAATTTATGTGCTTATAAGTCATAGTCTTATTTGAAACGAAAAGATAACGAGTTAATGTATTATTTTTGAAATCTAAAATAATATAATACAAAAATATTTTTAAATACTTTATACTTTTTTATCTGAGGAATTTAAAATGCAATTATACAAGCTCTTTGAATTGATTTAGACATTAAATCTTCGTGTTTTCAACTATAGAACTTAAAAAGGTAAAATAACAAGACCTCTGATAAAAAATACTTATTATAGTATAAAAATACTTATTTCTTATAAATGTATACAATATGACTAGGTAAAAATAAGTACCTACTTATGTATTAGTTTTTTTTTTTCAATAACTATTGTCAAATTATAAAATATTATTATTGAATCATTTTTTTTTTCAATACTAAAATTCTTACTCTTGTTATATCACGATATTTATTGTATATGAATCATTTATTTAAACTACAAATATTATAATAAAATTTAACTCTAAAATATTATATGTTTTTGTTCGCCGAAATATAGTAGCATTATTTTAGTTAGTAACCATATATTATTATTGCTATTATATCATTAGGACATTTTTTTTTCGATTGGAAAAAGGACGAGAGTGGGCGGTACGTTAAAAAAACAATTTTTTTAAAAATGACATTCCCCTCTAGTGGAAAACCCAGTAAAAATATTATTTATTACCACCGTCGTGGCCCCAATATAGACAGATAGATGGACAGACACGTAATAATTTTACCATATATGTGTTGTATACCGATTACTGGTTGATTAATCGTTTTTTATAAATGCGGCAGTGGTCACATATTATATTAACAGAGAAAGAGAAAACCCAAAATTATTACAAATAATTATTAATTATGGAGTATTGGTATCTGTGATTGGCAGCTATGGTAAAAAATAATATCAATACAGAAAATTATAATAAAAGACAAAATGGATGACCATTTCTAATTTATAACAGAAATATTTTAGTTGGATTATAGAGTGGAAAATGTATGGCTATTGTTAAATAATTGTAATTATYGTCAATAATATGCTTAAATGTGATGCAAAATGAACGCTTTGTTAAACATAATATAAATTATAAACCTTATTAATTATATTATAATTTTTATTAGAAACGTAACAAAAAAAACTTATAGTATCATAATTCATATACATCATACTTTTACACAATAATTATAAAACTTAAAGATTAGGAAATAATCATGATACACAATAATGTATATGTATATATAAATACACTATATATCTTATAACAATCTCCCGCAGAATATAAATAATTATCAACAAAATAATTATTTTTAAAATCATTGCTTGAACTATGGTTTATACATTAATTACCAAAGTTCGAGAAGAACACGAAAATAAATTGCGTTTAGTATTCAGGTGATGTTCCGCCGTTATTGTTACTACCACCAAATTCGAATGCATAACCACTACCGAATGAGTGGGGTTGTTGCTCGTTGCTATTTAAACTGCCATCATCTTTTTGTGAGTTAACACTGGAACCACTGTAGGCACTATGCGCGGGAGACGAAGGTGTCCGGAATGGACTGTGACTGCTATAATCTCCGGCACCGTCGTATGCAGATGATCCGTCGTCATCGTACCTAGCCGCTAATTCGGCACTATTGTCTTCGCGCACTCTGTAGTGTTGTTGAGGTTTCGAATACTTTGATTTATATGGCGACGGTGCACCAAAAGATTCTCCACTATTGTGATCAAATCTGCCTGCGTTGTGGAAATCGCCTCTGCTAAATTGAGAACCAGGTCCACCGGGAGCACCAAACAATCTGCCAAGCATAAATAACAATAATATTGCATGACAAACGAAACGATGTTTATAATTTTATGTTTTAGTGGTTTAAAGGTATAATAATATGGATTAATGTAACGCAGGTACTAAATGTATGAAAAGGTAAAACAAGTTTGTATGAAATGATATATGAGAATGAATTTTGATTGATATTAAAATGTATATTAATTTTTTTAATCTGAACTTCAAAWTAGAACTGAATAATTGGTACACTCACCAGATACCAGTGATCTATTAATATATTATTATATAATATTCAAATAAAATAAATTAAAATAGTATGTATAATAAATTGAAATTAGCTCATGCATGCAAGGTTAATTTATAAGGGTGCATTTTTTTTAAATTATCAAACTAAAGTATAATTATTCACCAAATTAAGATTTTAGTTGAGTGATCAATTTATATGTCATGTTATATATAGCAGTATATATGCAGTATATAATACAATTTTTCATATATTGTTTCATTACATTTTTGTTTTATCGAATCATTTGAATCATGAATGTGAAATAAAATTTCTCAATGGATAATTTGTTTCCAAAATTTACAGAATATCAAAAGCTCGCATAATTTGTGAGATCTGGAAATATTTCAATCGACCAGATGATTTCCGGTAAAAATATACAACATAACATGATGAAAACCAATTAATCCAGTTCGAAATCTATACTAAAATTTCTTCACGAACATCTCCTAGTGAATATTTGATGGGATGTGTACACGTGGTCGTTGGTCAATCTATGACGACCGTCTCTAGGACTAGATATATAGCAGCTAGCCAAATTTTGTTCAACTGCAGGCGTGTAGTGGTATGCCAGCGGTGGTGCAACCAAGATTTTGTAAAGGGTGGAATCCAAGGACCACAAATTAATAATAATAATAATAATATAGGTGCATAACAGCGTGTAATAACCAATTACAATCAAACATTACTAGCGTGTAATTATTACAGGGTAGAAAATTAAAAAAATGTTTCCAACCGTTGTTAATAATATTGCCATGGAAATCAAACCAAATTTAATTTACAACTGTCCTACTAATAAAAATGTGTAATTGAAAAAAAAAAAATCTAAATTCTGATTTTTGATTAATATGACATTCGCCGCGCTCCAGGGGTGCGGATTCGAGGGTCTGAGCCCGTTGTCCACCGCCTCCTTTTCAGAGCACCACTGGCGCATACCACAAAATATTGCATTAAGTACATTACACATGCACATATTATTAGGTACAATATTATATATCATTGTTGTTATTATATTTATATTATAATATACATTATTAATACTTAGAGTTTACCTGTTCTTAGACAACGGACGGCTGGAAGATGGCGATGGAACGTAAGCTGGCGCCGACGATTGCTGTTGTAACGGTACCACGGACACGGGAGCTTTTGGCACATGGTCTCCCTGTATTATGCGGAAACCGTCCTTACCAGCCGTGTACTTGACGGAGATCTCTTTACCGTCGGGGTCCGTGTATGAGTATGCTCCGGTCCGGCTTCCGTCCGGTCGGATCGATTCGCCTTGTCGAAGACCGTTGTCGGCCGCGAAAGCGTAYTGAAAACCGCCGTCCTCCTGCAGCGCTTGTTTGTGCATCAATATGACCGGTAACTGTTTGTTACTGTCTCCGCCATGGCCACGGAAATAATCCACCGATCCTTCGTCCCCGCTGTACGCCGCACACGCTGACACGAAAATCCCAATGACCAAAAGCTGCAAACTTATCGACATCGCCGGACCCCTCTGATCCTATATTTATAATATAATATACGTATTATGTATTATTTGATTCCACGAAATCATCAATAACATTTAATTCCTATTGCTATACGACGACGCGTCTTATTATTWWAAAAAAAAAAACAATATTTACTTATTATCGCTATGATTTTTCTTTAGTATAAAAAAAAATAATATTGAACTAGTGTGGCACGGACCTAATACATTATTATGATATGTTTGTCGGCTATTAGCTATCTTAATTACTTAGATAAAATCGTAAAAATTTWAAAATAAATGTATATTTAAACATGTTGCCATGTTGGCTCTTGATATTAGTTATAATAAAATTGTGTGTATCCACGTGGCTTGTGGACGTATTCATGCTAGCCATCCCTGGAATAAACTATACCATAACAAGATGTTTTATTAAATTAAATGTCAATATTATGTAGGTATACCTATAGCCGTAAAAGAATATTTTATTTTACAGCGAGTGCCCCCCCCCCCATTAAGCCTCTGTATGTATTATATAGGAACCGGAGACAGATTCAGAACGAAGATCCCGGGAACATTAATTTATTACAAAATATTTATCACGTATGTTTTTAAATATTATGAAAGTATAAAATCCATCAATTACACTTATTTTTAACTTATGRTTTACAGAATATGGTGTAATGCATATAAGTAGTTATGAAAAACAAAATAAATAAATCACTGTAATTTTCATTTTTCTTCATTCTTTATACATTATTTATTATTATTTATGTCGATTTCTCAATGAAAACATAATGAAGTWAGTCGATCTAATTGGAATTATGAAATAAAGTCAAGTTTTTAGCCGTTATTYTCAATCAGAGTAGAAAGACACCAATGCAGATAATGTACACTTCTTAAATTAATTCAATTACGTATAGATATAATAAATTATTTGATTTAATATTTCTTTTAAAAAATACGAAATTGTGTAGGTGTAATTAATATGTGTGTTCGATGGGTGCTGAGAGGGCGTTCTACCCCCGGATAACGTGTGACGGGGTTTTGACCTAAATATGGACTGCCTATTCCAATAGGTATGCTTAAATTATCATTGTTGGACCAATATATCACACATAGGTATCGTTAAAAATCCATAGTTCTATCAATAAAATTACTATCAATTGTATTTGTACATTGTATTATATGTTATAAATATAGTAAAATCTGCAGTATAGCGTGCGCTGTGTTATGGTTGTATATATAAAAAAAAATGATCATTAAACGTATTTTCCGGATTAAACTCCAGTATCTAAGACCTAAATATACTTTCGTAATACAAAGTCATAATGCAATACTATCACATGTATGTAGAAATAATATAGCGATAATGGTGCAAAATATATTATGTATACGAATAAAGAAGTGTAGTGAACCGTGCGTGCGTATTGGTGGCGATGGCGGTTACAATTTGCGCAATAACATTGCGGCAGTGGTCGTCGTGGTTTATAACAACGACAATAATAATAATATTACACTATCTATATACATTTATTGTATTATTGTACAATATTATACAAAGCCACGGTATTTTTCCAATAGACAGAAAATAATATTTCATTTAYATGCTTTGGATGTGTGTCAAATATATTGGTGCAGGTTCGTTTAACAATATATAATTTTGTACTTATATAATCAATTGTACAGTCTAATAAATTTATCTGTTTAAATCATTAAATTTTTCAGTTATGATTAGCAAACACCGCTGGGCCATAAAAAGATAATACTGATTTACACCGAAGATTCCAGCGGGTTGCTACTTGTTATAGGTACGTTCTATACTCGGTGTATGTTTAAAGGTTTTTTTTTTAATATTTCATGACAAAACATTAATAATTTTAATGGTAATAAAATCGTACAATCTATGACAATCGTAAGAATATATTTTTAGTAAGTATAAGATAGTCAAAATATTTTGGTATATATTTAAGGAAATATATTGTTAAACTTTATTATAGGTAACACGTGTGTTTCCTATTATCAATTTAGATGTTTTGACTAACCACCTACGTCTATAATAAATCAAAAATATTTTAGGTAATTAGTTATGTGAAAAAAATTTAAAAATCATTTATTTATAAAATAAGGTAGGTAATTAAATCTGAACCCTCATAATATAATATTTATATTATGAGTTATATAATATTCTATTACTACCAATAATATAATATGAACTTGTCAAAAAATACAATAAAAATGTTGTTCTCCATTATATTTCTCGTCGTGAATGTTGAACTAATTTATAGAGTTTGTACTTATATCTATGAACGCATTATTGTCTTAAAAATGTTTTGATATCTAATAAAATCGAAAAATAGAAATAGCCTATCATAAAATGTCTATTTTTTCTAGTTAAATATTCCTTTCAATTAACTAATGGCTTAAATTTTTATATTCATTTTTCATACTAATTATTATTAATTTTTGTTTTTAGAGATTAGTATTTAGTTTATCATTCTATTGAAGGATTTTAAATTTTATTCAAGGTAGATTTTTAATTAATATAGTTAAAATATTGAGTGGACCAAAATTCTTATCTGCTGTCTTTATATYGGGTCACATACAAATAATATGATAAGAATATAGAAGTAATATACTACAGTAGTACAGTTTAAACCTATATTAATTAAACATTTCAGCTACTATTAAATTTTAGAAGTTGAGTAGGTACAGCAATTGTCTATAGTATCATTAAAATTAAAATAAGTTTAATATAATCAATAACGTTATAACTTACGATATTCGTCTTCATCATGTACAATAGTGTACTATTGTGACGATTGTGATTTATTAGGAATGTTTTTTTATATTGTCGAAACTACTTTTGCTCAAAATGTTTAGGTACACAAAAATGATTTAAARTAATAAAAATTATTTTATGTTAAACAGTTTTATAATATGAAAAATAATCAAGTGAAACTGGTTGTAGACTCGTAGAGTTCGTGTTATGGTACTTATTCTCTTGTTGTTATCCGTTTTTATAATATTACCACTAACAGTTCTAGACCGACCCCACCATTTATCCACTACCTTTTTAATCTGATCGTTACAATCACCCTATTGTAATTGAACTAGGTGGCGGAAAATAATATGAAATGACAATGATGTTCTATTATATTATTACAACAACGAAAATAACAATAATAGTAATAGTAATAATAATAATAATTATTATTATTATTATTTTATTATAATGATATAATAGGTAGGTAGGAATAATAATATACTTATTTGTTCAAATTTATAATATTTGTTTTATTATTATGTAATAATTACTAAAGTTCTAAAATATTTATAAAAAAAGTGAAAATCAATATATAAACAATAATAAGGTACGTTTATTAAGAGCAATTCAAATTGAATATGTTTAAAAATAATAATATAATAAGGTACCTATTTAATAATATTATTAAAAATATTGAATGACATTTACACAATAAATTATACAACAATTTCACATGAAGTACTTCGTTTGTCAGTAATATTACATAATCTTTATGAAATTAATTCAAACGGTAAATGTCACAACTTAAAAAAATTATACAACCAACCTATTTTCATTAATTTAATGTTTAATATCTATTAACTCAAGCTTGTATTTATCATTTATGTTAAGAAATATAGACATGCATAGGTTAAATTACAAATAGGGACCTATGTTTAATGTACATGTGTAATATACAACATTATAATACCTATACAATATTAAATGGAATACGTCGTAGGTACTAAATTCACATTAAGTGTCTATGAGTTTAGTTTTACTTTGCGAAAGCTTAATTTATCATTCAATTTCTTAAAATTGTATGTTTTGTTTTGCAGTTGGTGAATAAGTTAAAAATTGATACAATATATAAATATAATTTTTTAGAAAGATATAGTCCAAGTTCTTGAAATCACATTTATAAATGATAATAATATTTGAAATTTATAAAGTGCATTGTTACAATTTATTACTAATTTTACAATAAATAAATAAATACATTATTGCCATTTAAAACCAATTAAAACTTAAAAGATAAAATTGTTAATTTACAAATATTTGTATAAACGTATATTGGTATAGTATGGTCTGATAAATTATTTATATTACAATTAATTGTAAATTTATCTCTTAAGACTAATACTTAATTATATGATATATTTAGTGATAACTAGTGTAGTTCAGTTAGTATAAAATAGTTGTATTGTTTGGACATTTATAAACATTATTTTTTGTGAAAAACAAATATGTTGGTAGATAATAAAATAAATTATCTTGACTTAATTAAGTATTTAGGAGTATTATTATACTATTCAGGGTAATTCATTGGTAATCTGATGAGAACTATACAGTGTGCACAAATGCACAAAATATACATCGGTGCAACAAGAGTCAAAATTCTAGTGCAGGCTATGGCCAATAGTCTTCATAAAAAAAAATATATATATACAAGCGAATCCACGGGGTTTTTTATTCGACACTCAGCTGTTTTGATAAACACAATTATTAAAGATACAAAGAAAGAATAAAAAAAAAAAAGCGGGTAAGTATACGTAGATGTGGTTCCACAAAATAGTTTTCAAGTGGRACTGCAATGGATGGTATTAAATTTAAAGTCAATGATATAGCATCATTGCCAACGAAAAACGATCCTGAGCGGAAACGGTTTGTCAGTCTATGATATTTTTTAGTTTTATACTATATAATTATATTGCTATTATTTCAAAAAAATGTAGATAGGTACTTATAGTATAAATTCCAAATTAATCAAATCAGATTCATTATGTACCCGACTCATTCCTCACTCAGGCATTCATAGTAATTATATACAATTTATTATTAAGTATTAATATAAGTCATTAATGACATAAATTGTTACAATTAGAATATAAAGCATACCTACTCTAGAGATTTTAAGTACCTATGAATAAAACTAAAATTTTTATTCTTGGTTATTTAATACGTAATTTCATCCAAATTTGAACTTAAAATAACTATAAAAAGACTGTGTTTGTACAGTTTTTAGATTTTTTTGCCTCAGAATTATAACTACTTATGTGGAATCTTATTTTAAATTTTCAATCCTTAGTTATAAAAGTTAACGTTTTATACATTTTTAACATTAAAGAATTTGTAAATTTTCAATTAAACAAATTTTTTTAAATGTAAATAGTGTGTAAATAGTCATAGAAATAATATGCTTTAGAGATGTTATGTTAGGTTAAAGTAAATATAAATAAATGTGTGATATTTAAAACACCTTCAAATCACTGTCATAAAGTTTTCAATTACTTATTATACAGTTCATAATTGGCAATACATAATAATTATATTATTATTGATTCACATTGTACATGTGTCATGTATAAATTAACTGTTGACAATATTAGCGACGAACAGTAAGCAATTATCAATTATTGGTAAAATACATTACCATTTGCATGCACCTATAAGAATAATACCTCACTGTAATTATAAGATATAAAAAAATGTATGCATTCACGATGTTTTTCAATTTAACTATTAATTATTGATCTACATTGAACACCGGCAAAGTTGTAAATGTATAAAATAGTGAAATCATTGAGAAATTTTATCTCCGCTTGTAATTTTAAAATTTACCATAAGTGCATTCTCAAAGCGATGGCTAATGGTTTATGTCTGCGAAAATGATTGAAACTGATTTTTTGTTCGTAAAAATTAAATTTTAAATCCAATTACTATGCAATATACGATTTACTTTCTGTAATCGTACTTACGTGTTATAAACATTTTATGATCTGTTTATTTGTATTTCTTTTTCAAAGGGGTATAATGCACTACACTACTATACGACATTAATGCAAAATGTATAAATTGCCTTCACTAAGGATACTCGAATATTTTTTTAAATAAAGCGTAAATAACAAAGTGTAGAAATAACGGTACGCAGCAAGCTGCTGTATATTATTGGAAGTATATAGCCCCATATAATATTGCAATATATTATTACCTACCTATATTATTTTTATACATAGAGTTGGTCGGTTTGACGTGTGTATCTAATGTGTGTGTATATATATAGTAAACTGATTGTGGCACACACACCCATACACAGGCATAGTTTCATCGTCTTTTAACGCGGTAGTGGTCACTGGTCGTACCTTTAGCCGTTTTGACTATATTACGCAGTCGAACGAACCGTGAAATATCACCTTTATGCTACACCGCATTATTTTTCGAACGGAAACGAAATTGTGTACAGATTGAGTTGCCTCAGTAAACTGCAACTACATTATACGCATTATTCCCATGTTAGAGCAATAGATTGGTATTCGTTATTTGTATGTGTTTATAAGCACATTTTCTTTTTTAATTTGCAGTACCAACTACCACCGGTATAATAGCAGTGTTYAAGTGTTGTAGTGGTGTTGTTAACATAGTTTTCCTGTATTGAATAGTGTATATAACTTAATGTTATAGGTACCTAAACATCTAACACGCACAGCTGTAGATATTAATATTTTATTATATTTACGATAATTATTTATTATTGTTAATCTAAGCTGTAAACATGTACATATTATAATATATTTCATATTACATGAAAATGAAGTTACAGCCCTGACGTCGCAAAAGTTTTGGCGAAAATTGGAGTTATTGCTGCAGCATTTATCAAATATAATATATTTTTTGTCTGATAAAAGAGCTCTTCCCCCTCCAACTCACATTAGAGCATTGCATTTTTTTAATAAAAAAAAACATTTTTATTCATTGGGACATTGTGTAGTCTATAAATGGTGCAAATACGTTTGAATGGTTTAATAGTGTTTAATTTATTATTCACTGAGTTGTTCCAAATCCCTATATTGTCAGATGAAGAAATTAAAAACAATTGACAAGTTTTYAGCATGAAGTTGGAAGATTGATATTTTATTACTTCATACTTGGATTAATAAAATATTCTTAGTAATTCTATTAATTATTATTTCTTAGTAACTACCTACAGTATAACAAGTAATATCAACCAATGGGTATTTAAACATTTCTAAATACTTAAACTAAATAACTCTGAACAGTAACTTTTAATTAATTTATTGAATGTATTGCAATTTCATTTTTATTTTTAAACTTCTAAAATATAATATAATATGAAATATATTTCAAATATAAAATGATCAAAAATGGAAGGAAATGAAAATTGCATTAAAAAAAATAGTTAAAAAACATAATATTAGTATTTTTCAGGAAATGTATGTTATCAATAAAAAATAATTTCCAAGTAAATTAGTGTAAGTATTATGTATTTTTTATTTTCATAATTCGTTTAATATAATTTATTTATTTTTATTATTTAAACATAAAACTATTTAATCATAATAATTGTATTTAGCTACTAATTTGTAACCCATATAGGTTTTTTTATGTGTTTAATGTTTTATTTATCCAAATTATTTTATACCCTTAAGATGCTCAAAGTTTGGATGAGATTAATACATTTTATATTGAAATCAAATATATCCGATTTTACCAAATGTTTTTCATCAGTCAGATTTAGATATTCTTTATTATAGGTACCACATACTGTTGATTACTCCTGAATCTTTAGTTAATTTCACGTTTACATACGTAACAATTCCAATTTTTGACAATATAAATAATACAATATAGGTTTCAGAAGAATAAAATAATATATTACAATCAATCATTATAGATGTCATACTTATTAAATGAACAAAACAGTTTTTAGTGGCTTGGGGTGACGCGATGTCGCAATTATTCAAGCTACGTGATATGTACATACCACCCGATGCCACTAGTTTTCGGATGGGCGACCACCTGGGTGCTTATGCGAAAAACCTTGCCACATATATTGGTACATGTGTTACAAATCAATCGTACCCTCTCTCACAGTTAAAATAACCCTGCTAAAATAACATGGCTTGTGTTGCCAAGGGTTGATTAATAATAATATA